TATACTTAATATGTTATATCATGTACAGGCAGTTTAACAGTAAATACATGTATCTGTTTCAAACGATTGCGATAAAAAAAAAAAAGACTTAAGTTCAAAAAGGAATTATAACCATTATTGTTTAGAATGTCGAGTGAAATTATAAATCGTTCAAATTTTCTACTGACAAATGAAAATAAGAAAAACACACAATGATCGGGATAACATTATAGTTTTTAAGGATAATAGACGTTTTTCAGGTTTCAATCCGATTCTAATCCACCGTGAAAACTACAAACATGACAAATATACTATATATAAACTGTAAATACTTAACTACTTTAATAGATGTTATAGAGATGGTCATATAGAGATTAGTTTCACTTCTTTATATCATAGGTATTCATGAAGACTAATTGCGGAAAACTAGAAGCAAATTTAACAAAATTAGTGGTGTATGATTTTTGCGAGATTGACATTAATATCCAACACCTAGTAATTACAGAAAAACCGCATAAACTTATTTTTTTTAACAATTTATTTTTCGTAATATTTTTACTATTATAAATATTATTTCGATACGATAAAATCCAGTGTACCATGAACCTTAAACATGTCTCGCGTGGTAAACACACGATGACAATGAACTAACATTGAGTAGCTAGATGAGTTTCATTTTATTTGATTTTCGAATGCACACGATTTAGACAGAGAAAGTATTCTTTCAAGTTCGCAATTATTATTCAACTGACCATCAATCATTTTTGTAAGTTATTTGACGTATAGTTACTAGAGCGTACTGAAATTTAATTTAAAAGTCGTTAAATCATTGAAACGATATTATAGTGGTTGTTGGTCAATTGATATTATATATTCTTATTTCTTACACTCAAAATAACTGCAGTTTGAATAACAGAAAATATTACTTAAAATCAACTCAATTTTTTTCGGTTTATCGCAATTAATAGTTTAGATCTAAATAATTCATTGTGAATACATGTATTCGCTATACGGAATGTATTAAACTGATTAAAATCAAACTTATATGTTTATAACGCCTAATATAATATGTATTATATTTTTTTTTTTCAGAAAAATGAAGAATGTTATTTGGATTTTTTTGATCTATACTTTGGTACTCAATCTAATCACGGTAACTTATTGTATTAAAAATAAAGAAGAATTAAATGTTGACCTGCAATTGTCAATATCTTCTACTAACGGAAAGTCTGATGTAAGTACTTATTCAATTATAAATTAAAATACGTAACACGGTTTGGTTTAAAGTTATTTTATACTTGTATTTTAGAACCAAACACTTGATGCCGATCAAACAAATAGCGAAATCGATGATTTCGAACTTGAAGACAATATTGACGAAGCTTCATCTGAAATAGTTGAAAGTCAAGTGCCATTTCCAACAGACAAATCATCTGAAACTGAATCAGAAGTCCTAGTAAGAAAGCCTCGACGCAAACGACGTCGTCGGCGTAAACGTCCAAGGACTTCGACGCACACGTACGAGGAAAATATAAATCATCCTGTAGTATGGAATCAGGAACCAATGGAATCAGATTATGCAGAAGGATATGTTCGACGACGACCAATAAAGAGACGAAGGCGACCATTTAAAAGAAGGCCATTAATTGAGGGAGGTGGCACCGCAGACGAAGAAAATATTTTACCGCGAAGAAAACTTATCCGCAGGCCAGCTGATTTTGGTAATAAAACGAGCAGTGAAGATGTGAAGCGATGGGAACCAATGACCTCGACCGAGGAAGAAAAATGGAAAATAGTTAAAACAACAACAGAAACCACAAATACTGTTTCGTCAACAACGCCTAAATCTACTACAGTTGCAACTACAACAGCCACCACGCCAAAAACTACTACGATTTCACCAACATTTTCAACACATCAATTTACTAACGATCATAGCAAAATCAACCATAGAGATGAATCATTGAAAAAATCAAATTCATCACGTGCGGACATAATTGTATTGCATAAAAGGCCGATAAATAGTAACTTACCGCCTACGTCAGCAGTGATACGACGTCGTTTTAAACCACAAAATACGACTCTGGAAACAACAACAACAATTAAACCAAAACTTACAGTAATAAAAGAAGACCTGCCTTTATCATTACTTCCCCCAGACTTCAAAATGACAGAATACGCACCACCACCTAAAGAATCTAAAAATAACACGGACGATTATCAAATTAACGACGAAGCACTTACAAAAATGATGAAAGAGCAACCGAGTAATAAAAATGACGAATTCAAATTCAAATCTGATAGCATACCAAAGGTCAAAGACGAGATATTAAGTTTATTAAAAACTAAAACTGGATCATCGTTATTATTAAATGTATTGAATCTTAGAAACATGTCTTTAGAAGAACTTTTACAACACAGAGAACGAGGATCAAGTCAGCGGCATCAAGAATTAATAGACACAAAAGAAGAATCAATAGACTTGAGTGCCGATGAACCAATAATAACAGAAAATACTAAAAATTTCACTAACTATTTAATTGAAACAAAGCGTTTGGCACAAGAGAACAAAGTTACGTTACAAACTAAAGAATTAAATAACTTGAAATATTTTAAAGATAACAACAACGATGATACAACCCAAACACCAATGAAATCTACAAATCCAGATGAAGAAAATCATGACAATCAATACAAAAATACGGCTAATGAACAAATATCAAATTTCACACAAGGGATACTAATTGATGATATTAAATCACCAATTCAAGTTTCTAAAGAGAAAACGCATGATCACGAAATCAAAAACTTTTCTAAACCACCAATAAACATTGAGCATTTAAATATTTTAAAAATAGAAAAAGTTGAACAAGAAGCAGAAATAGGTAAAATTAAATTAGATACGATTTTTGAAGAGAAAAAAGTATTTAGTTTTCCGACAACGACTACCTATACAACAGCAGTTAACAACCAAGAAAATGAAGCAACTTCATTTGTTTCAAAAACCCCAAAAACTAGAATCGTTATAGAAACCTCTGAAAGAGAACCACGTCTTTTTGATAGCATGCCAGATTTCTCTATAAAAACTACCCAAAGACCACTTATAACACCAACTATTCCTTCACAGGTATTATTCATTCAAGATACAAATCATTTAGACAAATATCAGAGTTATTCGGAGAAAAATAAAGACATAGACGAGGAAAATAATTTGGAATACCGTCGTTTTGAAATGAGGAAATTGCCAGTAGCCGTTAAATCGGCTATCATAGCTAGTGCTGCAATACTGGCAATTGCAGTTCTGGGATTTTTTGTTTTACTTATATCATGTAGGATGAGGCAAAAAAAACGGGTTTTAAGAAAAAGATCTGTGCTTTGCCAACATAATATACACCATGACCCAGACCTTCGGTCTAGCGCTCGTAGTACAAGTCCTGTTATGGATAAACATTGCCAGGATCAATACTATGATGGATATGGTGGACGTATCGATCCTCACACGACAGCTAATCGTCAATATTACCTGTGGAGAACACTAAGGAAAACATTCCGTTATGACTGATCAGTGTTACAGTTGTTCAATGTTCATATTTTGGACAAAATTTAAATTATTTTTTATATTGTTAAATTTATACTGCTAAAACAAATGCGAAATTTAAAATAAATGGTACATTATTTTATTTTTAATCAATAAAAATAATATTTTTATTTATTGTAAGATAAAATAATTTGTTCCTGTATTTTTTTATAATATTCATTATATTCTAAGCAGGTATTATAAACTGAAACTACATATTATCCAGTATCCTTATCAGTTAGCTTCACAAGTGCTGAATAAGTAGTGTTATAATAATAGTATAATACATGATATGTATCATCTATTAATTCAATAAGCATATTAAAATTATAAATGTATTAAACAAGAATAATAATTATAATACATAAATAAAAGTTATATTATAAAATTGACAACTTATTAAATATAGAGATCTTAAATTTTGATTCAGACTTTTATGTACATAATATATTATATATTAATTAAAAATAATGAAATAATAACATTTTACATCACATGATAATGAAAATTATTAAGTGATATAGGTAACTAAATCTACTAATATCAAATTAGTATACTACTAAGATTCCACTGTCCTACTTCTAGTTTCTACACATATTATACACTATACAGTGATATTTTTTTAATGTAAGGTATTGACAACTACTAACTAGTACCCAGGAAATTTGTGATATAGGAAAAAACCACAATGATAAAGATCGTGATAAATTAATTAGTAGTTAAAAATAAGTATTAAAATAGCATATAGCCCCCGCACTGGAGACGATAAGAAGAGTATTAAAATAACTAAAAAAATACTTAAAATTGTACAAAAATATGTTTTGATGAAAACAAAAATAAACAGATAATTAGTGTCTTGTTTTTGATATATTACTGTACAGCCTAAGTGCCTAACTGAGTTGTATACTTTAATATTAAATTAGTAACAAAACAATAAGATTCAAGTCAGTGGCCGCAGCCAGAGGGATGGCTAAGGGGGCTATAGCCCCCCCTCCCCATTGATCGTGTTGACTTTAGAATTTTATCAAGATTAATAAAAAAATAAAAAGTGTAAATAAAAGACATATTGTATTTATATACTTAGTACCTTCCATACAAAATTCCTGGATACGCCACTGATTCAAGTATTATTATAAAAAATATAAAAAAAACTATAATTATAAATTATAATAGTATCCATAATATTTCTCTTATTTGATTTTTAAAATTTAATTTATACTAAACAAAAAGAGTAAAAAATATATTTACAACAAATATTCAAATTCAAATCTGAGATTGTGTAGCAATACAATTTAACAGGGATACAAAGACTAATACAAAATAATGGAAGCCTATCAACAAGAATAAATTTTTATTCAGAGCTGTTAGCAATTATACTTTACTTCATCATTAAATTTTAAAACTCACAATCACAAGTAAACCAATAGCTAAAAATATATTCAACTTACCTATAATACTCATAAGTAAACGTATCTTTTAATATTACACTAGCAGGATCATTGGACAACTGAAAATATAAATAAACATTTATTACCAATCCAAAATAGCAGATGTTCATATTATATTATTATTCCTTAATTCCTCACACAAACTATCGTTAATACCACAAATCAAAAAGTGGACAAAGAAAACAAGCAAATTGCTTCTCTTGCATCAAAATATTATTAATTTTATAGATTTGGATTTGTATGAATATAATATTCTAAATGTATGATTCTGTTTGAATTGCAAATACCTACTTTAAAATATTAACAATAATTGACTGACGGAATAGAAGAAAGCACGACTCAATTTTTACAACTTTCAGGAGCCAAAAAACAGATAACTTATTCTAATTTTTTATGTACCGACTTATTCTTAAATAATTACCTAACTAATAGGGAAACACATTTTTATTTACAAACAACTTTGAAAAATTTAAAGATGCTATTTAATAAAAACTTTTTATTTAAAATTAATTAAATTATAACTTTATTTGACAAAAATTAAATGTTATAACTCTTGTAAAGTTAACATTTTTTTCTGGGGCACCACTTTGTAGTTACTTAACTCAAGTCATAGGCGTAAACTGAGGGGATAAGGGGAAACCATCTTAATACACCATAAACATATTGAACATTAAAATGAATGTTGATACAATTATTGATCAGTTTGATGCAGATTCAACAGAAAGAAGTAGAAGACTTCAATTGTCATAGACATATTGCGAGGTTATAATATTAGGTTAAACTTTTAATAATGTTATAATTAATATAATCATTACCTAATCATAATTAATTGTTTAGTATTACATTTATTATGATACATAAAAAATAAATATAAATTCTAACATTAGGTATATTATATATTATATTTATAATGTTATGATATGAATTTTGGAAATAAATTCCATTTTATGTAAAAGTACAGTAATAAGTTAATAGGTAGGTAGAATATAGAAATGCAGAATGTTTTTATTAAATAAACTATCATCTTATCAAGCTTTATCCATCATGTCATTTAATTTTACATACTACAATAAAGATTTAGTTTAGATAATATTATTAGGGCATGCTTTCCAATTTCCACTGATTAAGTATATTTAGTCTCTAAATATCTTAAAGTATACAGTATATCAACATAAAATAAAGTTGCCCCCCCCCCCCATAAAAATTGCCCAAGTTACGCCCATGACTCAAGTTACAATATTTTTTGTTAGTACCATTGATATCAGGTTTATTATAGTTTTTCAATTCTCTATACTTTTAAACTGATTTTTAATAATATTGTTTAAATCAGATACAGAGAAAAGATAGAACAAAATGTTTTTGTTAAAAACTTGACATTGATAAAAATTAAGTTATGAATTTTTTTGTTGTAGCAGTTAACTATTTAAACTATTCATAAGCTTTAAATAAATTTAATTTTAAAGTTATCATTCCATATTATATATATTTTCACTAGGTCTTATGTCATATTATTTAATTAAATAATGTTGCTTGGTTTTATAACAAAATAAATATTTTATGCAATAGAAAAAAATTGCTGGTGACCGGGTGTACATAATTGTAATAGGATTTTGTGTCATAAGTAAAAGGAGAGTAAAGTTAATGTTTTAATTTTTTTAAATCTCCCAAAACTTATTTAAGTATTACACATTGAAGCTGGAATACGACAATAATTAGGAAAAAATGTACACAAGCCATACACAATAATAATTTTAAAATAATAATAACTAGCCATAATTACCTGAAACAGTTTTTTGAAGTATGCATATTGTCGAGCTATATTTCTATTAAGTTTCAGTGCTGCTTCTACATTCATAAAAATATTTAAATAATTAAGTACAAATCAAAAAACATGTTACGTAAAATTTAATCTGCCAATATACAAATATACAGATCTAGAGCAATATGATAAATTACTGAAACTTAATTATGATAAAAATAAATATGAAATTTACTAAGATAAATAGAAATATTCTTAAGGGGTATGAATAGCATTGAAAAATTCTATGAAAATTTACTTTTGTATTTCCTATATGGTTTATTGAGCGGTTTGAGAGTAAATACACCTATTATCAATATTGTAGAAGAGAAGTTCATGTTTATTTTCAATATTTTAATTACTAAACTCAATACTTTAAATTCAAAAAGTAAAATATCACAAGTCTTAGAGTCAAATATTGGACATTGAAAATAAAATATCGACTCCTATGCAAACCTAGATAAACTTCTTCTCTTCAATTTATATAATAGGTGTTCATACTGTAATGTCACTCAGTCAGCTATATTATTAGAAATACGAAACTAAATTTCTGTGTTTCACTAAAATTCACATTTGTAATTAGTGTGTAAAATGCTGAGTTACTGACATGTGCGTTCAGTGTGCACGTGCGGGTGATCACCACTATTTATTTTATACACAGTCACTCACACTAATGATCACACAAGCACACATTTACACGACGAGCATGCACACAAATTGAAAATTGCCTATATTGAACTCCTTAGAAATGGTCAGTCTGCATACCCCTTAAGAAAATGTAAACTTTTAAAGTAATTTGTATTTATATGTTAAAAACATCATAATATACTAAAGATTATGTACTATATGTATTTGAGCAATCTAAAATTCATTAAAACTGCATATAATACCAAATGCAGGTGATCCTTTCAAAGCTTCTAGATCAGCTACATCAAAATATACTGGTGTTGAATATGTCACTGGCAAGGTGGTTAAATATGAATGCCAAAAACTTTTCTTATCTTTTCGCAAAGATTCAACCAAAATGAATATTGCCAGAGCCACGTTTGGCATATTACGCAGCATCATGTCTTGCGAGTGTAATTTCCCTAAAGGTATAAATATAGAAAATTATGTGATCAAATATAATCTCTATAGAATTAAACACTTACATAGTGGAGATGATGGTATATTTTCTTCAGTCATCATCAATGCTCTAGGTACAGTCACAAGCTTATCACCAACGGCAATATTTTTATTAGCTTTCATACCATATGCATAATTTTCAAACTGATGAATTTCTACTCCATTAAGAATGGCCCCATTTTTAGTGGCCCATTTAGTCAACTTCTCAATGGATTGATCATTTCTCTGAGACAAGGGCTTCAATTCAAACTCTGCTTCAAACTGATTAATTTTAGATAATAGGTTGACAATCACCAAATGTATGGACCATTGTTCTTTGATTGATGGGGAATTGGACATCATACTTGTTGCTAATGAACAAAATATACATTTTATACCACATAAGCTATTGAAGCATACCTAACAAATAAATAATTGTTTTAACCATCGAGTAATTCGTCCACCAGCTTTAATATAACTGCTTTGCAATCGTTTAACTTCATGGTTTGCATTTTTGCAAGATTCTTCTTTTGACTAGTGTTCTTGACTTTCTTTTCCATATCTATATGCGCGACTACTTAACTTCAATAATTAATAAACAAAATACAATTTTTAGATTTACAACAGAATTCTCGAATTGTATTTAACAGGTTGGAGTATATTCGTCTGTATAAGTATAAAACAAATACTACAAAGTAAACAAAGCAACAGAATGAGGGAAACTAATAATAACAAATTAGTAAATATAACAAAGGCTTATAATACAACTACAGACTATAATATAAGCATATTAAATAACTAAACCACTAAAGCATCGTAACAAGACTTAGTAAGGAGTCTATTACGATATTCAATAATGGGTATTGACTGAAATCAAAATATTTTTATAAATCTTATCATCATGGACGAGATATGGCCTATGATAAGAGACAGGGATGGGCAAGATACTCAAAAATCAGTATCGAGATACTAGATACTAGATACCTGGATTTGGAGTATCGAGATACTAGATACTCGATACTTGGCTCTAGAGTATCGCGATACTAGATACTCGATACTTGGCTTTGGACTATCGCGATACAAGATACTCGATACTCGATACTCAATACATTTTAATGAAATTAGTCACTGGATTTTTAAAAATTATGTTTATTATTGTGGGTATGGCCACTTCATTAAGTAATTAGAATGAAAAATAAAATAAAAAACATTGACACTTTCAGTAATAATAATACATTAGTAATAAAACAAAATAAAATAAATCAATTACGACATTACGTAATCTTGTTATCGTCTACGATTCTACCAAAAATAACCACAATACGATTTCATAACAATTAAATAATAATAATTCTACATTAAAAATTATATTTACTTGGTATTGTCGTATTGAATTATATAAATAATAAAAATAATTTTAGTATAATAAAAATTTAATTTCAATAGTATACAAAAATTTCAATAGTATAATAGTAACATAACATCATTCATTTATATAGTTAATTTATCTTTGTTTCCTTTTAAAAATACAAGTTTTTCGAAGGTTATATCAGATAATTTATTTCTGGTAGGATTATTAATAAATCCTGCCATGGAAAACATTCGTTCTACGGGTGCTGAGGAGCATAAGCTGGTATTAAATCTAATAAAAAGTTTTTTTATAATTGGATAATTGTTTAGAATATTTAATGATTTAGCCTTATCATTAAAAAAAGTAACTACTTCCAGATCGGCTTTTTTAATGGTTTTAGCTTCTGGTTGCGATGAATAAACAATAAAATTGTCGTCATCTTCATCGCTAGAATTTGAATTATTAGTAATATCATTATTAAAAATATTTTCTGCAGCATTTATACATAGGTTTTGAATTCTATTTTTTTCGTGGTCATATTCATTAGAGATCCATCTTAATTTATAACATGGATGAAAACAAGTTGCTAAAATAGCTTCATTTATACTGGGAGATAATTCAAAAAAATCGCTAAATCGTTTTATTAAAGAATTAACCAATGGTGTTATCATATTAGCTAAATGGCGAAAATTTTTTTCTTTTAACATTTCTAGTCTAGTTTTAAGTGAATATAATGTGGGTAAAAGCTGACCGTAATAACATTGATTCTCACTCTGCAAAAAGTCTAAGGCACCAGCAATAGGCTTTAATAAAGCAGCTAATTCCTCTAAATACTCAAAATCTATATCTTTGAAACTATACTTAACATTTAATTCTTTTAACACTAAATTTAATTTATCTTTGTATTTCAAAAGCTGTGTAATACCGTCATAAAGAGAGTTCCACCGAGTAGGACATGGATATTTCAGTGAACAATTTAATATAGTATGGATGATTTCTGAAGATTTTGGTCTTCGTGACAAATTCCAGAGTGTTGTACATTTACCCATAACAGAATGGTTGATTCTAGATGCTGAAGTCCCTTTTAGAATTTTGTTAAAATCTGTAGTCGCAATAAGACTCAATGTGTGACTTGCACAGCGTAAATGATGAGGCAAAAAAATTTCAGTTTCTTGTGTCATGGTGTCATAAATACACATAATAATAATAAATAATAAATAATAAATAATAAATATTAATAATTAATAAATTTACCTTGATATGAAGGCGAAAATTAGAAGTGGATCTTAATGTGCCGCTATATTCTTTTTTGTCATCATTGCAGAGAACACATTCTGCTTTGATATTTTCATTTTCCATTGTCGGTAGTTTTTTTATTTTGAAATATTTTCCATCCAAAATGAGTGGAATAAACAAATTATTTAATTCAGACATATTAATATTATATTACATACAATCTGAGTCAGTATAATAAAGGCAAACGATCGTCACATAGTGACTCACAGTCCGCAGAACACCAGGTGTGTAGCCGGCAGTGTTTGTGTAAAAATCTAATCTACTAATTTTATCGTGTTCATTACCTACCTTATCGCGAAAGGTGTAGGTACTATATTACATAGTAGAAAAATAAGGTACAGTCTTACAGACGTAAAGTCCAATTCAAAGTACGTGTGTAACAAAATATTATATTTTATATACAACCATTACACCACTAACTTTTCAAAAGTGGTTTCTGACGAGTAAAAATAATCGTAAACAATTAATTTTTCAAAGTATTGCATTAATGTATCGAGTATCTTCCGATTAAATTAATTCATGAAATACTCGATACATTGACTAAAAATGTATCACGATACAAGATACTCGATACTTCACATAATTGTATCGAGATACAAGATACAAGATACAAATGTATCTAAGATACGTATCTTAGATACTTGTATCGAAGATACTGCCCAACCCTGATAAGAGACATCTAATCGAATATCTGTACACTAGAGCGCCAAGCGAATCAAATATACATTACTACACTAGGTGAATTCATAGATATTATTAGTGTTCTGTGTTATTTTAGGTCATAGGATCCTATTATTATGTCTATGAGTGAATCGTGAATGGGTCAGTGGTTCGGTATCAGTCGGTAGACGCCAGGTGGCGCTCATTCACCGGACCATAGAAAAAAGATTAGACGCCGGTCCGGTCGGGCTACAGAAATACAGAATTTATGAAATCTATTTAAATCTATTTCTATAAAACATCGCCTCCACCACTGCCATATGGCGGATTAGGACGCATTAATATGGATTCTCCAATGGTATTAGATTTCATTTAATTTTTGGCTCTATGCCACCGTCCGACCCGAATACCGCTATTCAGTAGGTATTCACAAAAAAATGTAAAAATCTCAATTTCCGTAGAAATAATTGTCAAGATTTATAAAAGCTAAGGACAGACTATAACAGTACTAAATGTCTAAATACAAAATAAAAACTCTGGGGTGCCCTGGTGCCTACTGCCTACCAATAAATACAATTTTTTAATATTCGAACAAGATTTGTGTTTTTTAATGAAGAGTTTATCAAACACTTCATATTGTATTCAAGTGTTAACTAAAATCCTAAAACTATTTTTACACCTGGTGATTAGTAACACAAAAATGTGATATAAGCAACTGGGGACCACTGGGTGACTCTGACCTGGTGGCCTGGACTGTTAGCCTTTTACGGATTACCTGTACAACTGTCAACAACAACAGAGTTATTTCTATAAAATATTCAGTATTCATTTAGACATTTTAACTTTCATTGAATGAAGTTTGTAGTTATTAAGTCACTTACATATTTTAAGAGGCCCGACTAAAGTAAAATGTTGAGTTTTAAATTAATTTCTGTTTTAAAACATTTGAAAAGCTTAGTTTCTTAGCACCCTTACCCCTCCAAAATGGTATAAATGTTAACTTGAAGATATTCAAAAAATGAGACCTGGATTAACAATATTTTTTCTCAGGTCACTCCAAAAACAATATTATACATCAGCCATAGTCTGATGATAAAAAGTACAGTTAAATACTTATGAATCTGCTTCTATAATTATTGTAGTTGGTGTAATCTTTACACCAAGAAATTAGATTGAAATAATTAATAGCGACGATTTTTTTGATTTTTTTTTTTTGAACTAAATGAATAGTTTATTGCATAGTTAATATCTTTAGATATTATATTATATCATACAAGTAAAAATAGAAAAATTAAAAAATATATTATTATTTAACATGGTTATTACATAAATAATTAAATTTAAACATAGATAATAAAAACAATATAAATCTAATTTTATTTTTGTAACATGTTTTAATTTCTTAAGATTACATTATTAATTACTTTATATAATAAAAAAATTAGTCTTACAAAAAATACTATTTTTATGTTATATTTGTTAGTTTGGTAGATGGATTAAATTATTAATAATTATAAGTAATTTTTTTAAATATTAACTTAGTGAGACCTAATATTAAGATTTACCATAAACAATTATGAAAAATGTCCTCTGTAGAAAAATATCTATAATTTTAAATGAATTTTTATAATCAAAAAATATAATATTCTAGAAATTCGCTAAACTAAACCAATTTAAAATAATCCCACATCATCCCTCACCGGAACAATGAACTATGTAAAAGATATGGTCCGAATGCATTAATTTTCACACCAGTTTAGCCTAGCAAATTTTTAGATTGTATAAAGACTTTATTTTTATACTTTTGAATATAGAATAAAATTGCATTTATTTAGTTGTTTTAATATTTAACAAAAGGAATGTATTAATTTCAGTAATTACATTATGTTACAGGTAAATTAATTGTTTTTAAGATAACGTTGAACAAATTGTTATACTATGCTAATAACTATCAATGCTTTTATTTTTTGCTTGTCTTATAACCACTAATCTTTTTCTTGCTTCTTCTAACTCTCTTTCAATTCTTAACACATCAGATCTAGCATCTATTTCTTGGGCCATACCACCAACCATTCTTTCATTTAATATAAGATTCTTGATTTCATCTGTTTTCATGGCTTGGCGAGCTGCACGAACTACATTTTCAGTTGCACGTTTCACAACATTACCTAAAAAAAAAATTTATTAAAAATTTGTATTAAAAATAATCAATTTAAAATTATCACCAGAAGCTAGTAGACGCTTTGTAGCATCACTGTTTGGATCTGCTTTGACTTTGCATGCAACTAAAAGTTGTGTTGTGCAAGAAGCCACTTGATTAGCAGCAGATATAAGTTTGTCTTCGCTTGATAAACCTTCAATGATTTCACGAGCACATTCTACTAAGCTATGAGTTGCCGTGGCAACCATTCTAGCTGCATACACTAATCCATCTACCCCTTCATCAACTCCGATTTCATGTTGTGCAAGTGAAGCTGTTTTAACTAATGCACAGGTAGCAGCTGCAATTGATTTTACCGCTTCTAAAATTACTTCATCAGATTTCCAACAGGTTTCATCAACTTTGAATTCGTAAGGCCGAGGTTGAATTGTGTCGAGTTTTTTCACTGCTGTATCAATTGAAGTCGCTGAATCCAATAAATGATATTCTATAGTCTCGATGTGCTCCACAATCGTAATTAAATAATGTACCTTTGAAGACAAACGCTGTGATACTTCTTCTAAAACCCGTTTTGTAGTAGTACTAGGCCTTTTTGAATTTTCTAAAATTGTAGTCAAAAAAGTTTTAAATTCTTCGGCAACTTGACGTCCAGCATCCAAGACTTTTTCATTTAAATTCTTTCCTTGACAAGCGGTTAATAACTCACTAACTGATTTATGACTTTCTTGTACAGCATTTCTGACATCGTTTGGTTTTCCTCTATAGACAATATCCAACATATTTTTAGTGGTTTCATCAATACATTTTGCAGACTGAATAAGTGATTCTGTTGTTGTTTCATAATTTGATACAATTTGATTCCTTTGCAAATCTTTTTCAATCAATTCAACTGTTGATTCCATAACATTAGTATTTTTGGTACGTTCATCATCTACAGATTTCACGGTTTTCAATAAAGAAGTAACATTAGTTACCAACACTTTTGCTTTATCTTTTAGTTCATCCATAGATGGAGTTTCAAAACATCCCTTTATTAGTTCCCCGAGCGAACTAGCAACATCTTTTACAGCTGTTATCAATTGAATTTGAACTTCACGGTCGTCTAATGAAGCTGCACCAGACTTCACAAGTTCTACAAGTTTCAATACCGTCGACACTGCGTTTTTAGAAGAATCATCCAATTGTTCTTTGGACACTCCAACACCTGCTACTAATGATTTAGTATTTTCCACCAATGTTTTGGAAGTTTTTAAGATATTTTCCCTATAGTCAGAAAATTTTTGTTCATTAATTTCCAGTTCCAAATTATTACTTTCAGACATAGTAGTATCAAGATCATCTAATACACCTGATATGGCTTCAGTGCAAGTGATTTCAATTGAAGTATATTGTTCCTCTGAAATGTACCCAGTTGTATAAGATGAAGCCTCTTGTGGAACTCTAAGAATAGCAGGTTTAGCAACCGATTCAGTTTTTACCTTTTGGCCATTACTTTCTATCACAATTGCTTTTAACGGACTTACTGTATCTTCCATCACTGTGGAATGTTCATTTGCATCAATTCCAAAATGATCCTTAGCTTCTTTTTTCTTCAAAATTATATCAATATAACCTGATATTAACTGTAGTATTTGCTCAGCTTCAGTGGTTTGAACAGAATAATAACGATCAGAGTAATCACCAAAATCTAATGTAAATGTATGAGGAGAAGCTCCCCAACGGCGAACACTAGTTAAAGGCCAATTTTGTAATATTTCTTTACTTCGTTCATCCAAACGCAACACAGACTCTTTGGTTACTCCAAGAATTCTGGGTACGAGTTTATTTTTACCTTTCATTTCCTCTTTAACTAAGAAAAATGTAACACCATATGTTGGAAGAGCTCGAACTGTTTTAGTGTATAAAACTTTAGCTTCAAGCTCAGGTAAATCAATATATTTCTTATGTTCATTGAGTATTTTTTTTTCAATACCTTTGTTTTTCATATAAGACTGTGGCAGGAATTCTTTTAAATCCACTAATGGAGGTTTATGTTTAGTTTCATCATGATTACCAAATTGAATA